GGGGGTCCATGGAGAGCGAAGGCGACGACGACGACGACAACGACGGCCACGACGAAGACGGCGGCGGCGACGACAACGACGACGTCGACGATGACGACAGCGGCGACGACGAGTACGACGACGACGAAGAGGGCGACGACGACGGCGACGGCGACGTTGGCGAAGACGAGGACGAGAGCGACGACGACGTCGACGACGACCATGACGACAACGACGACGACGACGATTGCGACGACGAGGGCGGCGACGACGACGACAACGATGTCGACGATGACGACGACGACGACGTCGAAGACGTCGATGACGACGACGAGGGCGACGACGACGACCAGGGCGACGACGACGTCGATGATGGCTCCGAAAGCGTCGACGACGAAGACGACGACGACGGCAACAACGACGAAGAAGACAGCGACGACGACCACGACGAAGACGACTACGACTACGACGGCCACGAAGACGACAACGACGCCGACTACGACCACTACGCCGACGACGAGGGCGACAACGACGACGACGACGATGACGACGACGACGACGAAAGCGACTTCGACGATTCGACGACGACGACGACGACGACGATGACGATGACGACGACGACGAAGATGGCGACGACGACCACAACGACGACGACGACCTTGACGACAACGACGACGACAACGACGTCGTCGACGACGATTGCGACGATGAGGGCGGCGACGACGATGATGACGACGATGCCCGTTGCAGGCTCCAGCAGGTCACTGGTCTTGGTGACGTCGCGAGGCCCTTTGGCTGTCCGGGCAGGTCACCGAATATCGAACACAGGATTGTGACCTTGCCAGGCCTGTTGGAGGCCCGGGCAGGTCACCGAGGTCGGTGACCTCGGGAGGCCCGTTGAAGGCCCCAGCAGGTCACCGAAGTCGGTCACCTCACGAGGCCCGTTGAAGGGCCCAGCAGGTCGTGACCTTGCGAATCTCGTTGGAAAACCCCGGCAGGCCACTGCTGATCAAACACAGGCCGGTAACCTTTCGAGGTCCTCTGGAGGCCCCGGCAGGTCACCGACGTCGGTAACCTCGCGAGGCCCGTTGAAGGCCCCTGCAGGTCACCGAGGTCGGTGACTTTGCGAGGCTCTTTGGAGCCTCCCGCATGTCACCGAGTTTCAAACCAAGGCCAATCCTTACGAAGTCCGCTGAAAGCCTGGGAAGGTCACCGAGGTGGTTGGGCCTGTTGAAGGCCCCGGCATGTCACCGAGACCTTGCAAGGCTCTTTGGACCCCCGGGCATGTCACCGTATATCGAACACATGCCAGTGACCTCGCGAGGCCTCTTGGAGGCTCTGGCAGGTCACCGATCACCGAGGTCGGTGACCTTGCGAGGCTCGCTGGCCCCTACAGTGGAAGCCAGAGGCATCCTCGCAACTCTAAGCTCAGAGATGCCGTGACCCGAGCAGGTCCAGCCCAAGTCGCCTTAGACATCCTCGTAACTCTGGGCTCAGACACGCCGCGCGCGAGGTGATCCAGCCAGTTTTGCCTCAGACATTCTGCATCTCTGGCATGAAAGATGCCTGAATCTGAGGTGGCCTGGCCCGTTTCGCCTGAGACATCTTCACAACTCTGAGCTCCGAGATACCATGCGCCAGGTGGTCTGGCCAGTTCCGATTGCGACATCTTCGCAAAATTGGGCTTCTAGATGCCGGGCGCGAAATAGCGCGGCTGGGCTCGCCTGAGCATCCTCGCGACGCTGGGCTCAGACACGCCCTGGCTTGATGTGGTACAGCCCATTTCGCCTGAGATATCCTCGCAACTCTGGGCCCGGGGCCCAGAGATGCCTTTCGCGAGGTGGCCTGGCCCATTTCGCCTGACACGCTTTTGCAATTCTGGGTTCAGACTCAGACATGCCGCGCGAAGCGGTCCGGACATTCTCGCCCGAGACATCATCGCAGCTGTGGGACTGGAGATATTCTGACCTGAGTTGGTCCGGCCCAGCTCGCTTGAAACATCCTCGCATTTCTAAATTCAGATATGCCCTGACCTGAAGTGATCCGGCCCAGTTCGCCGCGATGGACATTCTCGCAACTCTGGTCTCCCAGATGCCAGGCGCGAGGTGGTCCGGCCAGTTTCGCTTGAGGTATCCTCGCAAACTCTGGGCCCCCAGACGTCGCGCGTGGGGTTGGTGTTGCAATGTTCGCTTGTGGCATCCTCGCAATTCTGGGCCCCAGCATGCCGCGCGCGCAGGTCTGGCAAGCTCTGCCCGAGACATCCTCGCAAGTCTGGGTTCAGAGGCGCTCTGACCCGAGGTGGTCCGGCCCGTTCCGCCCGAGACGTCTTCGCAACTCTGGGCTCGGGCATGCCGCGCGCGAGGTTGGCTGGCGCGCTTTGCCTGAGACATCCTCGCAAAATCCATGCTCAGAGATGCTGCGCGCGAGGTGGTCTGGCCAGTTTCTTCTGCGGCATCATTCCGTTGCCAGGCTCAGAGACGCCCTGACGTCAGGTAGCCCAGCCAGTTTGGATTGAGACTTCCCCGCAACTCTGGGCTCCGAGATGTGGCGTGCTAGGTGGCCCAGCCCGTTCGCCTGAGACATTCTCGCGACTGGGCTCCCAGACGGGGCCAGGACCAAACGACCAGTTTGATTGCACTGCTGTTATCGCATCGTCCTCCAGGAGGGGTTCAAGCGCTCATGGCCCAAGGGGGCAGTCAGCTGGCGCCGATGTGAGAGCAGGATTTCTGAGTCTATTTGAAGGACGTCTCAGGCGGGAGCGCCAGGCCGGAATACATGCTGTTGAGGAAATCTCTGGCGAAAAGAGGAATATGAAGGCAAGGGGGAGAAGCCGGAGTGCGAGGAGGGGCAAGGAGAACCAGGATGAGGAAGAGCATGAGGAGCACGATGACGAGAAGGAGGAGCAACAGGACAAATAGGAACTACAACGGCGAGAAGGAGGAGGAACGGTATGGGGAGGCGGAGGAGAGGGAGGACGGTGAAGTTGCGTGGGGAGGTGGACGGCGAGAAGCATACGAAGCATACGAGGACGGCGACGACAACGACGACGACAGTGATAACGCCAAGGGTGCATGCCAATCAGGAACAAAACGACGATGACCCAGAGGACGTGCGAACAATTTTTGAAGCCACAATGGATTCAAAATCGCTGCTGGGGATGCTGGACTCTGGCTATCAGTTATTCCTCCGCGATTGCTGCCCCGCGTCCTCATCCTTTTTATCCTGGTCCTCTTTCTGCTGCTGCCCCTCTTCCATCCCCGATCCTCCTCTTGCTGCTCCTCCACCTGCTCTCTGTCCATTTCTCATCCCCCGTCCCTTCCCCACTTCCGGCCCATCCCTTCTCTGCGTTTGACCAAGGAGGAAGTAAAGAGGATCAGGGGGTCGAAGAAGCGCAGGGTATCAGCGGGCAGAGGACGGTAAAGCGGAGGATGAAGGTGAATAAAATGATTACAGCCGTGACGATGTGGATCACAATGATGGCGACGATCCACCGATCATGAGGACTGTGGTAGATGCCAGCGGCATCGGTGTTCACAGTGTTGACAACAACGATTGTAGTGATATCTCATGGTGTTGGTTGCGAGAGAAAGCGTGATGATGAGCGCGGTGGTTTTGATGATGACCATGATATGATAATGATGGTGATGATGGTTATGATGGTGGTGATGATGATGTTGTTGATGATGACGGAGGTGCTGATGATGATGATGATGATGATGATCATGATGGCGATCATGGTGATGATGATCACGATGACGATGACAGTGATGACGACGACGATGACGATGACAATGATGATGATGATGATGATGATGATGATGCTGATTAGTATTATGATGATGAGGGTCTGGATGACGACGGCGACGACACGACTGCGATGATGACGAACCGGTTGGGCGGGCGGCCGATGCCGCGGCAAACGCCAATGTCTACACGGCGGCCTCTGCTGAGAGAAGGCCTGCGTTGCAGGGATCTTCTCAGCAGGGGCACCCGGGTGCCTCTGCTGAGAGGGCGTGGGCCTGACCCCGGGATCGTCGGCTGGGCTTCATGAGACGACGCCCTCCAAGCGGAGTTTGTCCCACTAGGGCCAGACGACGATCCCAGGGTCCGACGTCAGACCCACGTCTTCTCAGCAGAGACACCTGGGTACCCCTGCTGAGAAGACCCCTGCAGCGCAGGCCGCATGCTGAGAACGCGTAGGGTGCGGCAAACGCTTGAGACCCCAGGGCAAGAGGCGCGATCGGAAGCAAAACGCTGCAACAGCATCAGTACTGGTACCAATATCGATAGCGATACTGGTGCCAACACGCGCAGAACCGTTCTTAGCACCCACATCAACACAGTCCAAGGGGGCCCTGTTGGAGCCTGGATGAGAAAGGGGATGAGAGCCTGCAAGTAGGAGCAGGAACGACGGGTATGGGGGGGGGATGGAGGAGGCAGCAGCAGAAGGAGGACCAGGACAAGGAGGAAAACGAGGCGGAGAAACATCACCAACATACCGAATTCTTGACGCTTCGCGTATCCCCACCAGCCCATCCTACACCAGGCACTCGAACGAAGAGCGCCGATGATCGGCAGCTGTTCTCCTCCCCCTCTTCCTCCTTCTCCTCCGCCTTCTCCTCCTCCTCCCTTCTTCCTCCTCCTCCTCCTCCTCCTCCTCCTCCGCCTCTTCCTCTTCCCTGGTGGCGTCTTGGAGGTATCTTCGAACGTTTTGGTGGGCTCTTGGACCTCGCGGGCGGGCGGGCGGCGCATCGCCCGCCCGCGCGCAGGGCGCAAGAGGAGAGTCCGAGACGTCTCTCGAGGCCCTCTTGGAGGACATCGATCGCAGAAAGGGGGAAGCATTTTTTAGCGTCGCCCCCCTGGGGGGCACGATCCTCGTGAGGGGTGTCGAATTTTAGCCCTCCCAGGGGTCGTTTTTGGACGTTCTAACTACCCGCGGCCCCCCCTGTCCAGGTCAGTGGGGAGGGGGTAGGGGGAGGGGTAAACCCCTCCCCGAAGGGGAAGAAGGAGGGGTGGAAGAGGAAACGCTCTAAACCACCGACGCCCAGAGGGCTGGTGGGATTTTAGCCTCAGCCCAGCATCCCCAGCAGCGAGTTTGAGCCAGGGTGGCTCCAAATCTTGTTGGCGCGCCCTCCGAATCATCGTCCTGCCGTCCCTGATTTGCCTGCGCCCTTGTCGTCATAGCTGTCGTCGTCATTGCTGACGTCGCCCTCCTTGCCATATGCATTGTCCCCCCCCCCTCCCGCAACTCCTCTTTCTCCTTCCCCTCCTTTTCCCCCCTTCCTTCTCCCCCTCCTCATCCCGTTCCTCCTTCTCATCATCTTCCTTATTCCTCCTTGCACAATTCGTACCGGTTCCTTACGACGTTGCCCACGCGCACAGCCCGATGTTTCTGTAGCGCTGCAGGGTGCCGTGTTCCAGGCATCGCACTCTCATCTAGTTAATGTGTCGCGCCGTCCGCGCGCACATCTTACTTATTCGGTGGTATTGCCCGTGTCATGTTGTTAAACAGCGTCCTTATTATGCTTTTGCGTTGCATCGTTGTCCGCCAACACAGCGCGTTGGCTCCTGAGTGTTCGCGGGTTGCCGTGTGTCGGGCAGCGCGCTGAAGAGTGTGCGCCGAGCGTGTACATAGTACGCGTAGCGCGTACGTTGATTCCGGCTTGTGTTCGACATCCGGGCTACTCCCAATTACGTTTATCAAGTTTTTCTTCTGGCGATATTATGCTGGTTCTTCAACGCGGGGCCGTTGGTGCTTGAGCATCTGCATACGCATATTTATCCGAGCGTTCAGTTTCACGCTGCCCAAGTTGAATGGGGCCGTGAATGCGGCAGACTGAAGTCGATTAGCGGCACGCCTCAGTGCTACGCGATGTGATATGTCGTTCATCTTGGGCACGCCCAAACGGCAGCCGATACGCGTTGCTGCGGGAGACCTAATCTGCCGTTGCAGAAGCCGCCGCGCCAGACGTGATTTTAGGACAGCGATACCCGTTGCGTGTCGCAATGCACCATGCCGGCGCTAAATCTGCATTTGAACGATCCCCGTAGTCAGTTTCAAAGATGTCATGATTGATGTCGCAGCGAGGCTTGCCCACTATTGGGCTACAGTCCTCGAAACATAGGTTTCAAGACCCTTTCTGAGCGGACCACTTTTGCACCTTGACTTTTTCAGGCCCAGTTCTGAGCGGCTCACTCTTGCATCTGATTCCAATCCGATATGCGTTGAGAAAAACATGTTTCTTATTCCTCCTTCTTCTCCTCATTCTCGTCATCCTGCTCCTGATGCTCTTCCTCCTGGTTCTTCTCGCACCTCGTCGTCCTCCTCCCCGCTCTTAGTTCTCCTCTCGCTGGAGATGTCAACATGTACCAAGGCATGGCGCCCCCCCGCTTGACGCTTCACACGACGCTCAAATCATGCTCTCACCCTGACGCAGGCTAACCGTTCTCTCGGGGCAGGGGCGCCTGGGCCCCTCCTGGGGCACAATTCGATATTAGCAGTGTAATGTAACATGTAGCACGGGCCTGGCCCCGTCTGACCCCTCTCTCCTACTTTTCGGGGCCCAGTTGTGCGGATGCATCAAGCAAAACTGACGGGAGTACCTCGCGCGCGGCATCTCGGAGCCCAGAGATGCGAGGAGGTCTCAGGCGAAATTGGCAAGATCATCTCACGCCCGGCGTCTTGTAGCCCAGAGTTGCGAGGATGGATCAGGCGAATCTGGCCGGAGTGCCTCGAGCGCATCATCGCTGAGCCTGGAGCTTCGAGGGTGCGTCGGGCGAAATTGGCCAAACGACCTCGGGCGCGGCATGTCTGAGCCCAGAGTTGCGAATATGTTTCAGGCGAAACTGGCAAGACCACCTCAAGTCAGGAGCATCTCGGAGCCCAGAGCTGCGAGGGTGTCTCAGGCGAACCGGACCGGACAACCTCGCGCGTCGCAACTTCGAACCCAGAGTTGCGAGGATGCCTCGGGTGATTTGGGCCAGATCACCGCAGGCCACGACAGTTCTGAGACCAGTATTGCGAGGATGTCTAAGGCGAAACAGGCCAGACCACCTCGCGCGCGGCATCTCTTAGCATGGAGTTGCGATAATGTCTCAGGCGAAACGGGCTGGACCACCTCAGGTCAGAGTATCTCTGAGCCGCGCGCGACATCTTGGAGCCCAGAATTGCGAAGATGTTGCAGGGAAAATTCACCGGGCCACTTGCCCAGAGTTGCGAGGATGTCTCAGGCGAGTTTGGCTGGACCACCCCGCGCCTGGCATCTCGGATCTCAGAGTTTCGAAAATGCCCCGGGCGAACTGGGCCAGAACACCTCAGGTCAGGGCATATCGGAGTTGCGAGGATGTCATTGGCGAATCGGGCTGAACAAAATTCAGGTCAGAGCGTCTCCGATCTCAAGGTTGCGATGATGCCTCTGGCGAGAATGGGTCAGACCACCTCGCGAAAGGTATCTCTGAACCGAGAGTTGCAAGGATGTGTCAGGCGAATTGGGCTGGACCAAATCAAGCCAGGACATACCTGAGCCCAGCGTTGCATAGATCCGCCGGCTAGCCGGGCCGCAACTCTTCGCGCGCGCCATCTAGGAGCCTAGAGTTGCGAAGATGTCCCAGGCGGAATTGGCCAGACCACCCCACGCGCGGCATCTCGCAGAGTTGCGAGGATGTCTCAGGCGACAATGTCTGAGCAGAATTGGCCAGATCACCTCGCGCGCGGCATGTCTGAGCGCAGAGTGGCGAGGATGTCTAGGCGAAACGGGCGGGACCTCCTCAGGTTAGGTTCATCTCCGAGCCATTGCGATAATGTCTCAGGCGGAACGGACCAGACCACTTCGCGCATGGCATTTTGGATCCCAGAACTGCGAGGCAAGCGAAATGGGCCAGGCCACCTTGCCCCTGGCAGCGTTGCGATGATCTCCCAACGCAGTGCAACGCAGCGCAATGGGGAGTGGTGCAACAGAAATACACTCCCATGTGTTGTAATGCAATGCCACGCCAATTGCACCTCATGCATATGCATCGCATACGCAACATGCAAGTGCAGATGGGCATGGGGCAGACGCTTCCACTGTGGGGGATGGGGAAGAGGAGGAGGAGGGAGAGGTGGTGGAGTTGTTTCTCAGAGTTCCCCATGCAACTTGGCATGAACTACTGCGCAACACCAGTGGCAGGAGGCGTGGCTGGCAACAGGATCACACACATCGGAAGCGCACTTAGCAGAACAGAAGCTCACTTAACAGGAACACAACTTCAACGCCACAGTCGAGGACGGATACTCCAAGGAGCCAGCAGCGCGGAGCTTCCGGGACGGCACCAGCGTTTCCGCGGGCGGTAGCGACGGGAACGCACCCAGGATCAGGACGGTGCCGGACCTGCTCGCTCTCCTCCCTGAGCTACCCCCACCAAGGTGCCCCCAGCTCAGGTCGCGATCAGTTGCTGACCTACGCCTGGCAACTGACGACGAACAGAAGCACAGTCGGACCAACAAGGTCTGCGAGGTGCAGCACCTCTTCGTCGCCTACCTCCGCGACTTTCACCCAGACGTCGACGCGATCTGACGGGAGTACGTGACAGCTGAGGGCGCAGCCATCCCCGAGCCAAAGGATCAGGATACCTTCTGGCCGGCAAGCCGCTTGGTCCCTTTCTTGGCCACGATGTATGGCCGCGAGGTCCCAGCAGATGGCGCCCGGAGCACACGTGAACTGTGGCGGTAAGCGCTGGGCGGCCGCCGGAGTGGTGATGCACTTCGCCAACAGCCCACGACGCAGCGAAACTTGGCAGCAGCACTACGCCTCCCTGGCCCGAAGCAAGGCACCCAGGCCATTCCAGCACGAACTCCCAGTACTCGCTGGCTGCCTGATGGGCCTTGACGCGAGCGCCCTCGCGGCAGCCACCATCACAAACCTGGCGTGCCATGGCCCAGTCACTATCTCGGACAGCGAGGTGCCTCCGCAGACAGCACCAGGTGCGGGGGCAGGGACATGGCTCGCTCCCAAGCAAGAGGTCGGCGAGTCATCTCGGAGCCGGCACGCAGCTCACAAGCCTGGCAGGGACGACCCAGCGTCGCTTTCTGGACGCGCTGACCCAGCCCCAGGCGGCTCAGGGGCGGGACCGCCGCCCTCTCACGGCCTGCAGGAGGACCACAAGGCCGGCGACACACCCGCAGATTCGGTCAGGGGCGAAGAAGAGGAACTCGACCAACCAGGCGCCGCAGCCGACGCCGAGGTACACGACGGCGCCAGCGGCACTACCATGGAAAGGGATCTTTCGGTGGATTTTGACGGCCCGCGACCAGCATCCCCAGCAGAGTTGCCGAGCGAACACGCAGAAGCGAGCGAAGGTCCCAAGTGTGATTCAAGCTCACTCCCGAAGGGTTTTGTGTTGCATCCCTCCCTTGCCCACCGCTGCCGTTTCATTTCGAACTAGGGCCCTTGGCCTTAGAGCTACGCCCCTCGCGAGGCCGCGAGTAAGAAGATCCATCGACAATCTTCCATAGCACAGTGGCAGCTTGGAGCGAGTCTCAACTGCCCGGTGCCGCGCGCCATTCATATCCTGGCGCTGCGCGCCATCCTCTTGTGCAGTCGCGACGAAGCCGTCGCGGCCCACGGCATCGAAGCCCAGCGGCTTCCTGCTCGCGCCGTTGCGCGGCGCGTGCATCAGCGTCAGCGACGCTATCAACGCCTACTACATCTCCGACAGCATCAGCGACGCCGTCATCAGCTCCTACCCTGCCAACTCCTACGTCAGCGTCAGCGACGCCGACATCCACGCCTACTTCTCCGACGGCGTCAGCGACGCCATCATCGACGCCTGCTTCTCTGACAGCGTCAGCGACGCCGTCACCAACGCCTACTTCCCGTACGTCAGCGTCAGCGACGCCGACATAAACGCCTACTTCTCCCACGACAGCGTCAGCGACGCCGTCATCAACGACTACGTCGCCTACTTCTCCCAGGCCAGCGTCAGCGACGCGAGCATCAACGCCTACTTCTCCTGCGATAGCGTCAGCGACGCAAGCAGCGCCTATTTCTCCTACGTCGGCGTCAGCGACGCCAGCATCAACGCCTACTTCTCCAATGCCAGCGTCAGCGACGCCAGCATCAACAGTTACTTCTCCGACGGCGGTGTCAGCGACGCCAGCTACTTCTCTTTCCTTCTCGACATAATGACGGATAATTATGCGTGCAACACCGTCCCAACATGGAATGGCGACCGGGCAAAGTGGATAGATTACAAACAGGAGGTCAATTTTGGAAGCTCAG